TGCGCGCGCGAGGCCAAGGCGCTGGTGGCAACTCGCTCGAGGGACCTCGGAGGCCGAGCCTTGTATTGCGTCATAAGACAAGATGTAATAACGCTACTCACTCGCGTAGTAATTGAGAAAATCATCATTAAAATTGCAGGTCCGGAATACCTTAGACAAAGAGAGCTAGAAACAAGACTTCATCTTCGTATTTATAGAAAAGATATCAGAAATATTGGCACAAGTAAGGAGGTAAGAAATCAGATCATTACATTAGAATTTTTATGTAATTGTCATAGAAAGGAAAGAGGTGAGCAGGGAGGTGGGCAGGGAGGTGAACAGGGAGGTGAAAGGGAGGTGGACAGGGAGACACATTGGCGCGCCTTCATTCTGCACGGCGCTAGCTTTATATAAATTCTCAACAACGGTTAGGTTGCACTTGGTATCGGTCTCTTATCCAAAATAATAGAGTATGCAACTCGGTGTTAATGTTGTTTCAGGGAATTCGTACAACTTTAAAAACTCACTCCTAACGTCGCTCCATTTCCAAACATGTTCTCATACAATAAACTTTACATTAGAAACAAATTGCATAACCATAATTATTTCATGCAAAAATATTTTAATTAGAAAAGCAGGTATTTTAAAACCAAGGACAAACATTCCAACTTTATATATATTAAGAATATATTCTTCTTGTCATCCACCTACGAAGATTGTTAATTTTAATTTTATAACTATACTTGTTCACCACTTATTGATTATTTCTTTTTCTCGTTTTGCCATCCATTTTTGCTATTTCGTCATAGGTTTAGATAGTCAGAAAATTCTTTATATAAAATCTCTTAGGCTGCTTTAACTAGTTACAACTACTTATACATAGAAAAATGGGGTAAATAATTTTGTTTTGCTAAACTAATTTCTTGTAGAAAAGCGTTATTTAATTTCCTTTAAATTTGACAACTTTCGACATGAAATGTTTCAGGGACAACAAATCGGAAAATCGTACCTAAGTGGGATAGATTATATGCGAGATGTTGTATTTAGTCGCGTGGACTTCACAGTAAATTGGGGTCTCCCGGAACTTGGCCAGATGCTTTCCTGTGAGTTTGTACCGACGTCACAATCAGTCTCTAGAACGCTAGTGGCCGTGCCTCCGCCTGCGAAGCTGCCGGCGTGGTCGCTGCCGCTGCGCGTGTTCTCCCCGCGCATCTGGCTCGTGCTGCTGGGGACAGCGATGGCGTATGCGCTGGCGTGGCGCGTGGTGGCGGGCGAGTCGCTGGCCGCCAGCGCCGCCGCCGCGCTGCGCGCCTTCTCCTCGTGCGGGGGCGCCCCGCAGGACAGGGTGCGCGCCACGCCGCAGCGCCTGCAGCTGGCCGCCGCGCTGCTCGCCTCCGCCGTCGTCGTCGCCGCTGCCTACCAGGTGAGGACACAGCACTCCCTATATTCCTTTGCTTTGCTCTCTTTCTTATATCAAGTCAATGTTAAGAGAAAATTTGCTTTGACATTGTAAGTTTGTATTGGTTTCATAGGTAATGTTGTATCTACTCTAAATAAGGATTCTGCTTGTTAACCGAAAGATTAAAAAAGTAAATATGTTCGCAATCTTTATTTTCCAGTACTTAGATTCTAATTATTTTCTTTTGATTACTTTAGGCGCATACGTGGAGCTGCAAACCGGGCACATTTTTATGGCCTTTTCTTTATTGTGAAGCTTTTGTTTTACGTGTTTTTTTTCTTTAAGCGTTACTAAACTGAAACGTACTTCTAAACGTGTAATTTCAGATTTATTAATAAATCAGTTAGTTTTATCGTCAGTAATAGTTAGTAGTATTAGCCAACGAAGCCATCAGATGAAGCAAGGTTATTCCAGTTATCTGCGATCCAGTAGAGATTGTGTCGAGCCCAGGAGAGACGCAGGAGATGTCGGGCTCTTAGCAAAGAGTCCAGTCGGTCTTCTGCTACCATAGCTGATTACAATCAAACGTCAACGCCCAGTCCTCACGGATTCGTTTATTGTACGGCTTACATTGATTTTTTGCTGGTATTTCACACCGAAATACTTGTTTGTAAGCACTGACAACTCTACGCTAACGCCACGGTTCAAAGGAACTAAGGTATTCGTCTATCTAAATTTTAACTTTCTATTTGTGACGTATAACTGGATTTCATAGTGCTTACTTGTAGAATTAGGTATTAGCAGAGACTTTTTTTTAAAATTTTGTATAAATAGTATAATCTAATAAGTTTTTTTCCCTACCTAAAACTGGTTATGATTTGTGTCACTATAACCCATAAACCGTTTTGTCGGGTTCACACAGAAAAGCCAGAAAATCATATGGAAAATTTTATTTATGTCCGGGTGTTCAGCAAACAGAATCCTTTACAGCTTCTATTGAAGTTTATCCAAATAATTTTGAATGCACAGAAGCGCTTAAACGCCATTTTCTTAAAAATGCACCAATTGTTTTAAACAAAATTCCTTTTAACAATTGCGTTTTACTTTTCTTTAATATTATTAAAATAACATTTCCATTCCACTATTAGCAACTCAAAATATTTAGAAAAAATAAAAAAAAATGTAATTTGGGCGGCAGTTAGCCAAAGTTTGTGGCAAGTCCGAATATCTAACCGAGACCAAAGGAAATAAAAAATAAAACGGGAAAGTCTGTGCCATTCTGTCGCACCAATAGTTGCACTTTCAATTACAGTTTTGGAGAATTAGACCTTTGGGTGCCCTCACTGCAAGACATGCGCAACCAGAAGAGAGAAGAAGCTGAATTTTGTGAAAACTTAATTAAATAATAAATAGAAATATAATGTTTCTCGATACGATTATACAGAGTATTTCATTATATTGAATCTTTTAAATAGTTTTGTCTTTGACAATACAAGGTCTGTAATAACATATTACACAGTTCAGATGATGGCTGTGGAAAGAGATTCTACGTTAAATCAAATTTGTTTTAAAACAATTACTTACGAAGAGCTCACTTTTCTAACAGTAAATGTTTTATATTTTTGTTTATATCTATTCAAAAATACATATTCAGAGAGGAATAATATAATATTAACTTTAGTCAGAAAGAACTGCAAAAATCTTATTCTGTGAGTGATTTTACTTGAATAAGTTTTGTTACATGCAAAACCACCGTTCCCGATTACGAATATGACTTGTGTTAACAGTCATAACTTACGAAAGCGAAAGCGTGCATGATTCATCTCTTAGAATCTACCGATCAGAGCAGCTATATCCCAGTATTTTCACCCAGCCAGCGACTGAAATCGACATAGCTATGTAGGGAGAGTCGAATATCCGCCGCAGGATTCGATTCCTAGGTCATCCTGGCCGGAGTTAGTACAGAAGCATTGGCAATGATTCTGGGAGAAATTTAAACGAAATTACAAACATTAAATATTAGAAAAAATACCCCTTTTTTGAAATCTGATACATTATGTTTGAAACTGTTGCAACACGATAAAATATGAATGTTTCCATTTGTACAATGAAATACCTTTAAAACAAGTGATTCTTTTCTAGGGCCGTCTTTTCGACATGATTATGGTACCCCAGTACTACCCGGACATCAAAACAATTGGCCAACTAATTGCCTCCGGAATGACAGTGTTGGCTGCTAAAGACTCTCAGCCCTCAATAGACAAGATGAAACTATTTTGTTCACAGAAAAATGATAGTATTTGTTCAGAAGGGACAGTCAAATATTATGTAAACCTGAATGTCAAATATTGTAATAATTCGAGGGACCAGCAATTGTATCTCGCTGAAAATCGTTACGTTGCAATTTCAACTGATAGACAATTGCCTCTGTTGATATCTATAAATCGTGGAAGGGCTGTGTCAATGAAATTTTTCGACGCCGCATCACCCGTATGGGAATATATGTTTACGAAATGGTAAGTAATGTAGGTTGTACATCATTTCTAAAACACGTGATTAAAAATAACTCGGATTAAATCTTTCTAAAGACCCTTTGGAATAAGTATATGAGGACTATTGTTGGTCCAATTCATGTTTTTTAAAAATTTGATTTAATTGTGACATAAATAATAAATATGGAAGCAGTATTTAAGAAGGTATAATGATAGAGTTAGTCCTCACCAGCAATGAATGGCAATTTTGAAGTTGTTGAACGTGTGAGGGGAAAGGAGATTAAAACCTCTCGCCAACTTGATAATTTCCACAAATCCAAGTTTTTAGTGGTTTTCCCACAAACTACAACAAAAATCCACCCCTCTTCACCAAATGCAAAAATCCTTACAAAAATCTATAAAAAATATCTTAAAAATTCTTACACTGACTTCTGAACTCCAACTCATTTATTTGCAAAATAGTTAAGCTAGTTGATTTTTTTACGCCACAATACATTTATAGTCACCTAAGTTTTCTTTATCGTACCGAAGCCTCTCCTGAATTCTCCGACTGTAGAAATTCTGCCTCTACTTATACATTTGCAGGAACTGGCCGTGGGTAGATGTGATCAATCTGAAGCTGATTCAGTTCCGAGACGCGGGCCTTGAAATCAAGTGGGCAGACGACTTCAACAGAACATGGGGGATGTACTATCGTTTGCGCAATGACACACATCTGCGTACGGGTGAGGTGGGGACGGAGGCGGGAAGCGACGAACCCCGGACCCTGGAGCTGCAGGACCTGCGGCCTCACCTGGCGCTGCTCTGCGCGGGGCTGGCGCTGGCCGCCGCCGCCTTCTGCGCAGAGCTCGCGCGCAGTCGGTGGGGTGCTGCGCGTGCGCAGGTGCGCAGATGTCTGCGCACATTGCCGCCACTTCCCGGGCCGAAAATACTCCTCGGCGCGCGCAGAAGAAGGAACTGAGGACTCAGGAGACCCAGGAGACCCAGGGGTGCTTTCAACGCCCAATCCAGGCGTATTTTTTGCGTGTGATCATTTCTGTGTCAATTTCAGACAAGAAGCACAGGGGCGTAAGCGAATCTGAGCAATAGAGAGCAAAAATATGATATCATTGGAGACGGTAAGGTTTTCGATTTTTTTAAATTTCGAATTTAAAAATTTAAAGTTAGAAAGAAGCGAAGTATATTGTATTACTGACACGATAAATGTAGATACCATATGGAAGATTAACGCACATTGCACACTGCAGAAAGCACGGTCATTATTGAGCATTCTGTCGATCACTGTAAACAAAATCGGAGATTTTCAAGGGGGATTTTGTCGGTTTTTTCCGTATTACATATTGTCTTAATTTTTTGAACTTGAATTAAAGCTTGATAAAACCAAAATTGGTACTTTTCTAAAATTTAAGAACAGTTCACTGCTTCATTTCTTTCATTTGTCTATTTAATAACAGTTTTATAAATACGTTTATTTTTATTTTCTTTGTTTTATTTTGTTTTATAAGATTTTATGAAACAATGTGTTTTTTATTATTTTTTACCTAAAACTATTTACATTTCTGTGATACGTGAAGTGTACTGACTTTAAAGATTTGTTATGCATAAGCGTGAGGTTTTATTCTGTCTTCTTCAATTTTACTAACAGAAGAATTGAGGGCGTAAAAGACAGTCTGGTTGACGCAACATGCAGTGCTCCTAGGTGGCCTCTTTGGTGAGCACGAAGGGCAGAAGTTTTAACTGCTGAATACAACGTAAACGCCGAATTTCAATTACAATACTCTGTTGAAACCCCGTCTTAGTTATTGTAGTTATTTCCACCTCTTTCTCTACCTTTCTATCTGTCTTTGTCTATCTATCTTCTTTTCTCTCTCCCCTTTCTCTCTCCCTTTTCTCTCTCTTTTTCTCTCTTTCTTTTCTCTCTTTCTTTTCTCTTTTCTTTTCTCTCTCCCTTTTCTCTCTCTTTTTCTCTCTTTCTTTTCTATTTTCTTTTCTCTCTCCCTTTTTCTCTCTTTCTCCATTTTTATCTCTCCCTTTCTCTGTCACTTTCTCTTTCTCTTCTTTACTATATCTTTCCCCCCTTGCTTTCTCTCCATATTTCTCCCTCCCTCATTTCTCCATCTCTTTCCCCATCTTTCTCTTTCTCTCTCTCTCTCTCGTTATCTCTCTTTCTCCCTATTTTCTTCTCTTATTTTCTTTTGTATTATTTCTCTCTTTTTCTCTTTCCTTTTTTCAATTTATTTTGGCATCTTTTTCTCCTTCGCATTCTCTATTGATTTCTCTCATTCGCCCTTTCTTTCTCTATTTCTGTTTCTATCTTTTTCTCTCTCTTATTTTCACTTTTTTCTGTCTTTGTTTTTCACTTTCCCTTTTTTCTCACTTTTATTCCGTGAAGACTTAACGTCCTTCATCACCACGCTAATCGTCTTACTTTATCTGTGCTCAACCGCATTGCGACCAGACAACAACTCGATGCAGTTGTTGACGGAACGAGATTGGATTCAAATTAAAGAGATGACTTTTGCCATATCCAGTAGACTAGTTTGCCTATAACGAGCGAAAGAAAGAAAAAAGTTTAAATTATTCAGAAGATCGGGACAGCAAGGAATGTGGGGGTATTGACATTCTTACTGTAAAGAAACCATACGATTTATGTTTATTACAACATAATAGATGTATATGAACTTGTCAGGTAATAATTTCGAAATGTAGAACATTTACCGCATTTCGCCACACATGTTGTGCATATGAAATGTCCTTCCTTTATTTAGATACGTGCAGTCTATATGAAGACCCGTGTAATGTATCCCGGAACCGTGGAAATTTGTGGCGTGCATGTGTTAGGGTGAGTGGAACAGCGATGTCGCAACGTGGCGAGCCTCACAGCGGCAGAGAGACGCGATGGGTAGCTGGCGGCAAGACACAGAGACCCGGCTTCGAGCCCTGTGGCTGGCGCTGGCGGTGGCGCTGTGGGAGGCGTGGACGGGGGTGGAGGCGCGGGGAGTGTGTGTGCCGTGGGAGGGGTCGGGGCCGCCCGTGGCGCGTGCAGT